CCTAGTACTGGAATAAATTTAAAAAAAAAAAAAAAAGAGGGAAAGAGGTGTCCCTGTTCAGGCCTTACAAGAGTCTCAAGGACTTTCCTGTCCAAGCTGGTTTTGTACTGTAATCCTCAGATCTCAGCCTCCTGATAGCTGGGATTACCGACATGAGCTACTGTTTGGTTTCTTTTTCTTTCTCTTATTTATTCTTTTGGTGCCAGTCAGTCCTGAGCTCTGACCCTGAGCTTTTGTGCTGAAGGCTATCGCTCTACAACTTCAGCTAGGGCTCCATTTCTGGCCTTTTGGTGGTTAATGGTAGATAAGAGTCTCCGAATCTCAACCTTGATCTGAGGATCACAATTTGAGGCCAGCCTGATCAGGGGAAGTCCTTAAGATTCTCATCTCTGGGGAAGATGGCCCAGTGGTAGAGTGCATGCATGAGACCCTGGGTTCAATTCCTCAGCCCCACATAAAAAGAAAAAGCCGGAGGTGGTAGAGTGCTAGCCTTGAGCTAAAGAAGTTCAGGGACAGCACCCAGGCCCTGAGTTCAAGCCTCAGACTGGCAAAAATAAATTAAATACCTTTGTATGAAATATATAATAAGCATTGACATAATTGCACAATGGCAGGGGTCTTGCATTAATAGCCAGATCATGAGCTTCCTATTTATGTTTTCTATGTAGATGGCAAGGATAGGTACACACACTAGTATAGTCAGCTTTCTTGGTTGAGATGAGGGCTCATGAACCTTATGGCTAGACTGGCCTCTCACCTCAATTCTTCCCATTTCTATCTGCCAAGTATCTAGGATTATGGTGGTGAGCCACTTATCTGGCTTGCTTTTATCTGTTTAATCTTGGTGCTGGTATTGTAGCCCAGGGCTTCAAGCATGCTATTCAGATGCTCTAATGCTGATCCACACTGCCAATTCAATGTTTCTCAAAATTATTTTGACCTTTGTATTTTGTCCTTGACATTCTATCTTAACTTTGGAACGAGCTTGTAAATTTCTAGGGAGAAAAATACCTGCTGAGGTTTTTATTTTAATTGCATTGAATCTATAGATCAATTTGGAAATAACTAATTTTTAAAATCATCAGATCAGCCGGGCACTGGTGGCTCACACCTGTAATCCTAGCTACTCAGGAGGCTGAGATCAAGTGGTAGAGTGCTAGCCTTAAGCTGAAGAGCTGAGGGACAGCGCCCAGGCCCAGAGTTCAGGCCCCACAACCGGACCCAAAAAAAAAGAAAAAAAAAAAGAATCTTTCGAGTAGTATGGAGGTTCCTCAAAAGACTCCACATAGAGTTCCCCTATGACCCAGCAATCCCACTTTGGGGCATTTACCTAAATAATCACAAACAAGACCATTCTAAAGCTACTAGCACAACCATGTTTACTGCAGCATTATTTACCATAGCTAAGATATGGAACCAACCCAGATGGCCCTCAGTAGATGAATGGATCAAGAAAATGTGGTATATATATACACAATGGAATTCTATGCCTCTATCAGAATGACATTGCCCCATTTGTTAGGAAATGGAAAGACTTGGAAAAAATTGTATTAAGTGAAGTAAGCCAGGCCCAAAGAAACATAAGTCCCATGGTTTCCCTTATTTACAGTAACTAGTATATGTCTGAGACAAGCAGAAAAGGTCAGATAAGTTGATGTTAGGTGAAATGAACCCCAAGATAAGTATTTAAATGTTTTTTCTTTCTTGGGATTGTTTCTAACATATTTATAAGATGATTTCTTTGTTGCTTTGTATGTCCCTTCCCCACAGTATAACCCCTGGTTTCATTGTATTTGAAGTTAGTATAATTTGTGGAGGGGAAGGGCAAAAACAAACCATTTAAATAGGGATACAGGTAGACCCATTGTAACAATGAGATGTACAAGTCATTATGTTGAAAAACGAACTTTACAACTTTGGGGGGGGGGGGGGGGAGAGGGTAGGGGGAGGAAATGGGAAGGAATGGAAAGGGGAAACAAAGGAGCATGCCTTGCATGCTCGAGGCCCTGGGTTCCATTCCTCAGCACCACATAAGCAGAAAAAAAAAAGCTGGAAGTGGCACTGTGGCTCAAGTGGTAGAGTGCTAGTCTTTTTTTTTTTTTGGTCGGTCATGGGACTTGAACTCTGGGCCTGGGCGCTGTCCCTCAGCTCTTCAGCTCAAGGCGAGCGTTCTACCACTTGAGCTACAGCGCCACTTCCGGTTTTCTGGTGGTTTATTGGAGATAGGAGTCTCACGGTCTTGTCTCTCCTGCCCGGGCTGGCTTTGAACCGCGATCCTCAGATCTCAGCCTCCTGAGTAGCTAGGATTATAGAGGCATGAGCCACCAGTGCCCGGCTTAGAGTGCTAGTCTTGAGCTGAAGAGCTAAGGGACAGTGCCCAGGCCCAGAGTTAAGGCCCCACGAACGGACTCCCCCCCAAAAAAGAAATGTACTCATTATCTTGCCCATGTAATTGTAACCCCTCTGTACAGTATTTTCACAATTAAAAAAAAAAAAAGAATATTTCGGACTTTCCTGCCTGGGCTGGTTTTGAATCATGATCCTCAGATCTTAGCCTCCTGAGTAGCTAGGATTACAGGTGTGAGCCACTGGCGCCTGGCTCCATGAGACTCCTATCTACAATAAACTATTCAGGGGCTGAGAATGTGGCTTAGTGGTAGAGTGCTTGCTTAGCATGCATGAAACTCTGGGTTCAAGTCCTCAGTACCACATAAAGAAAAAAAGGCAGAAGTGGTACTGTGGCTCAAGTGGTAAAGTGCTAGCCTTCAGCTGAAGAGCTCAGGGACAATGTCCAGACCAAGGGTTCAAGCCCCATGACCAACAACAAACAAACATGTGCTTGCATTTAGGACAACTCATAAAAGCACAGTGCCCAGATAGGGTATTCTATAGGATAAAAAAAAATTTTTTTTTTGGTCAGTCGTGGGGCTTGAACTCTGGGCTTGGATGCTGTCCTTCAGCTCCTCAGCTC